ATAAGGAGTTGCCCCTACCGAAGTGCGGACAGTAGTGCGATAGCCTAAAAGGGCAAAAGGTAGCTTCTCATGCCATTGCCTGGACCCCTCTACCATTTTCCGAAGTATTTTCTTGATGTTCTTGTTAGCTGCTTCCACTGCTCCATTTGCCTTAGGACGATATGGGGTGGAATTTCGGTGCGTAATCTTAAACTGCTGACATGTCTCTGCCATCAAATGACTGTTGAGATTGGCACCATTGTCTGTGATGATTACCTTCGGGATCCCAAACCTACAGATGATATTCGAATGCACAAAATCGACCACTACCTTCTTGGTCACAGATTTGAAGGTTTTTGCTTCCACCCACTTAGTGAAATAATCAATAGCTACCAGAATGAACCTGTGCCCATTTGACGCCGCTGGCTCGATCGGCCCAATGACATCCATTCCCCAAGCAACGAACGGCCACGGTGCCGACATTGTATGCAATTCAGATGGTGGAGAATGAATCAAATCTCCATGTACCTGACATTGATGACACTTGCGCACGAAGCTGATACAATCCCGTTCCATAGTAAGCCAATAATAACCCGCTCGGAGAATCTTCTTTGCCAATACATATCCACTCATATGAGGTCCGCAAACTCCCGCATGTACCTCAGCCATGATAATTGTAGCCTGTTTAGCATCCATGCATCTCAATAATCCAAGATCTGGGGTTCTCTTGTACAACACCCCTCCGCTGAAGAAAAAGCCGCTTGCCAAGCGTCGTATTGCTCTCTTTTGATCCCCTGTAGCTTGTGCTGGGTACACTCCCATCCGGAGGTATTCTTTGATATCATGGAACCACGGCTCACCATCAAGCTCTTCTTCTACCACATTACAATAGGCATGCTGATCTCGGACCTGAATTTGTAACGGGTCCACATAAGCCTTGTCTGGATGATGCAACATTGACGCCAAAGTGGCCAAAGTGTCGGCAACCTCATTGTGAATCCTTGGAATATGCCTGAAATTTATTGATTAAAACCATTGACAAAGTTCATGCAAACACTGCCGGTACGGTATGAGCTTCAAATCTCGTGTCTCCCATTCACCCTGAATCTGGTGTACCAGAAGATCCGAGTCACCCATGACCAAGATTTCCTGGACACCCATGTCTATAGCCAATCTCAAACCCAAGATACACGCCTCGTATTCAGCCATGTTATTTGTGCAATAGAAACGAAGTTGAGCAGTAACAGGGTAGTGTTGCCCTGTCTCGGAAATCAGTACTGCTCCTATCCCGACGCCTTTGGCATTGGCAGCCCCATCAAAGAACAGTTTCCATCCTAGCTTTTCGACTTGTTCTAATTCTACAACATGCATTATCTCCTCGTCGGGGAAGTATGTTTTCAAAGGTTCATATTCATCATCAACTGGATTCTCGGCCAAATGATCAGCTAGCGCTTGTGCTTTCATTGCAGTCCGGGTCACGTAGACAATATCAAACTCTGTAAGCAAGATTTGCCATTTCGCCAGCCTCCCTGTGGGCATGGGTTTCTGAAAAATGTACTTCAACGGGTCCAGCCGAGAGATGAGATAAGTGGTATATGCTGACAAGTAATGTTTCAACTTCTGCGCTACCCAGGTTAAGGCACAACACGTCCTCTCGAGTTGAGTGTACTTCACCTCATATGATGTGAACTTCTTGCTGAGGTAGTAAATCGCCTGCTCTTTCTTTCCTGTGATGTCATGCTGCCCCAGTACACAACCAAAAGAATTATCCAAAACTGTCAGATAAGGGATCAAGGGCCTTCCCGGCTCTGGCGGGACCAACACAGGTGGACTAGCCAAATACTCCTTAATCTTGTCAAATGCTGCTTGACATTCATCCGTCCATCTGACCGCAGCATCTTTCTTTAGCAGCTTAAAGATGGGCTCGCAGGTCGTTGTGAGCTGGGCAATGAACCTGCTGATGTAATTCAACCTGCCAAGCAAACTCATCACCTCTTTCTTGTTCCTTGGCGGTGGTAGCTCCTGAATGGCTTTGATCTTGGACGGGTCTAACTCAATGTCGCGCCGACTTACCACGAATCCCAACAACTTCCCAGACGGAACTCCAAACGCACACTTGCTGGATTAGCTTGAGGTTGTACCTGCGGAGTCTCTGGAAGAATTTCCTCAAGTCCTTGCATGGTCACACTGTTTCCTCGACTTTATG